AAAAAAAAAAAAAAAATTCACATCAAGCTCAAGGACACACGTGCAAATAATTAACTTGTTACATGACAGCGAAGTTAATGCAACCCTAAATAATTAACCACCCTAGTAGATTAAATAATTTACCAATGATATTAATGTTGTAAGTAACATTAATTATGAGGGAATTATTTGAAAAAAAAAATAAAAAATATGAGGGAATTGAACTAAAAAGCATCAAATTTTTTAATTAAAATAAAAAATAAAAAATAAAGAGATTGGCTAGACTGTAGGGTCAGCAGACTGAAAAGTGGGGGTGTTTTTTCATATTATGGGTAAAAACGACACGTAGTGGGGAAAAGAAAAGGTGAACGGTGGCTACAGGCTACGTCCTTTTTGGCAGAAAATCGTACGCGACAACTGAGAGAAAAAAGGGGTGGCTAAGGCTGGCATTAGTGGTGCAGTGTCAACAGTAGTGGACAAAGGACTCTCAGACTCTGTGTATGTGTGTGTTGCATGTAAACATGCAAATAGAGACAATGGCATAAAAGCAGAAACAAACAAATCTCATAAAATGCATACACACACATGTTATGAGAGCATAGGCTAAAGGGTTACTTGAAAATTTTGTATTTTCACACATTTAGTAAGAGCTATAAAGCAATATTACCCACTGGGTATATTCAAATTCACCCGTCTGTTTAATTAGAATTTCTAACGTTAAATGATGAAGGGGCTCAGAATAATGTGTGGGTCATTTTTTTTTTTTAGATTAATTTGATTTTCCTGGTTTTGTTTTCCCAAAATATATCATTTCGAAAAAAATAAATTACCGTTGTCAAGCAGCTTGCGGAGAGTAATGGAGAGGTTTCTGTTCTGGGAAGCGCTTGAGCTCTCCTTCTGGGAGATATCTGGGCCTGAAAGAAAATAGTTTATCCAATTAATAATAATGCATAGTACTATGGAACTGAAAAGGTTAAAAAGAGAGAGAAAAACTTAAAAAGGAAAATAACAACATCTTGGGTCAATTATTTAATTGAAAAAACAAATTAAGGATCGGTTGCGCAGCTTGCGCTGTTTCCAAAGACAAATAAGACAGGAAAAGTAGCGATTAATGTTAATTAATTAAGGAAAAACACAAAAAACTTGCGGACGCCTGAACGAGAGGCTATTTTTTCAACAAACAGCAAATCCAACAAAAAACATTTAAGCAACTGAAATATAGAATCCGCCCAAAATCAAACAAACGCGAGCAGACAAGAAGACCACAAAGCAAAATTATAGATAATAATTAATACAATGAAGGCTGACCTGTATAGATCCCAATGATTAGAAGCAAGAAAATAACCGAGAGCCCAGCCGTAAATGCAACCACTACTCGCCGCCTGATAGATGATAATAGCAGTGAATCGATCTTCATATTTTTAACCAGCAGCCAAATATTAAATTTCTAGTGAGTTGGCTTTTGTGAGCGGAACTGAGTCTAGCTGAGTCGACTCGGAACTCAGTGCTCTAGCCTAAGGAGCGGAAAGTGAAGCTAGCAAATCCTCGCTGCAAAGAGAACCGTAGGGAACTGCACCAAAAGAAATATCGCTTTACATATATCCATCGATTTTATCTTTGACTTTATCCAGAGAGAGAAAAAACCGCAGAATAAAGCTTTGATATGACTTGACAGCTTCGATTTCACGATTAAAAAAAATCAGCAGAAAACGCAACATCAAACCAAAGCTACCATTTCACATCCACTCATGTGCACATACCGATGACAAAAAGCCAAAAATAATTCCAAATCAGTACCGAAAAAATTAAATAACGAACGAAAATATTTGCTTGGAGCTTCAACGGCACAGTCATGTGATGTGCTAAGCATGAGCAAGCAGCTGGAGGCTAGGGTTTTGACTTTGAAAAAGAGAAGTGACGAGTATGGTTTCCAGTTAACAGGAGAAGATGAAAATAAAGTGTTCAACAAGAGACCAATGTTAATTTTCTGAGAATTTAGTCATCAATATAGGAAAGCTCCCCGACACTGATTTAAGATAAATCTCGGGAAACGAGCTCCATAGCCGAATTTCTCTCCAAGCACAATGGTCCTTTTCGTTCAAAATTAATGCATCGCCACAAAGATCGAGAAAAAAACAAACAATAAAGCAGAACGTGAACAGCAAATTAGCGAAAAATCCAAAAAACAAAAACTGTGATCATGTAAACATGGGGACAGAGCATTGAAAGCAGAAAAATGCAGAGGGAGACATAAAAGAACAGACGCGAAGACGGTTCAGCTGCTAAATCGCCATATGCATCGTGAGATCTGCTCGCCTTTTTTCTTTTACCTTTGAACTTTTTCGAGTTTTCGAAGAGAGAGAGGGAGAACAATCAGTTCCGATAAGCGTGCGTGATTTTGTGTATATGTGTGTGTAGAGAGAGAAACACAGAATGTGTGTGACTGTGTAGGGTTTTTAGGGGCGAAAATGAATTCAGAGAGAGGAAACCATGTGCAGGCAGCTCCATTATATATAGGAAGGAGATTGTTGATTAATTAGCAAATTAACCCACGGTTATAAAGTGCACGTGGCGGTAATAATTGCGAATATAATTGTCATCTCTTTGGGTGTCACGGTAACTAATTAAAGTTGAATTTCCTGGCCTGTTAGTAAAAATTTTGTCGTTACTCTCTAATTCACCCTCCTACGTTACATTAATTTGTTCCCCTGCCTTTCAATTCAAAATTTTTGGTAAAATGGAGGGTTAAGTATAAATTGTGGTAAAATAGGTACATACATCTTTCGACGTTGCCAATAGGGAAAATGTTACTAATATAGCATTTTTTATTTTAATAAGGATTGATGTATGAATTGATATTATGTATAGATTAAGTCAATATAAGGATTTTCTATGGGGGAATATTATAAAATACCTTAATTGTTCTTGTAAATAATAAATTTGGCATAAGATATAGCATAAGATAGCAATTGTTTTTTTTTTAAAAAAAAAGAATTGATGTATGAATTGATATTATTAATAGATTAAGTCAATATTAAGGATTTTCTTAGGGGAATACCTTAATTGTTCTTGTAAAAAATAAATTTGGCATAAGACATAGCATAATATAGTTAATTTTTTTATTTTAATAAGGATTGATGTATGAATTGGTATTATTATAGATTAAGTCGATATAAGGTTTTCCTTAGGGGAATATTAATATATATAGTGAAGTACCTTAATTGTTCTTGCCAATGCTCGGGGAGGCGAAGCGTGGTGTCCCGTCCGACTGAGCTGGGGTCGTCACGTCCACTATGGCGGTTGTGGCCAGTGCCTGTTCTTGAACATACTTGGACTATTTTTAGTTGTTTTTCAAACTGGCATGCAAGGAAAAATGTTACTAACACGTCCAAATATTTTTAAAAACTTTAAATCTATATTTATATCTATATAAAAAAGTTATATTTACCTGAAATATAAACTAAAATATTGCCTACTATTTTTAAAATTACTAAACTTGATATTTTTTGAAAAAAAATTTAAGGCCAATAGAGCTTAATTTAGAATTTCAAAAATATTCTTATTATATTTGGGTAATTTTCATTTATTATGAAAACAGATTTATCTATTAATATAAATAAATATCTTCGCAACATTATTCCATATCCATTGGGATTAATATCACTTAGCCGCAATATTTTATATATTTATATATTTTTTAATTTAAATACAATCAATTATTCCTTCCATCCTCTACCAAATGTATTTATATACACAAGTTGTGCGTTTGGTCAACAAATATTGTTGAGATATGTGGACTAAATTGATAAATTGAATTAATATTGCGACATCAAAATTTTCATTTGTTGGATTCTTATTGACTCACTATCCTTGAAATCAAGTTTACTGTTGTGTACAAATTGTTATTTTAACCGAGTATTGAATCGAAGGATTCGTTCCCCGGGTCGATCTCACAAGGAAGGCGGTTCGGAATTTAGCTTCGGTATTGATTTCACACAAAAGGAAAACAATCCTAAACACTCTAATTCAAATGGTTAGTTTTGATTATCAACTACGCGATTAACAACTAATGATACTCGAACAAGCAATTTCAATTTCACACCCCAAAACACAATTCAAATAATTATAAAATGGACTAGGGTGTCGGGGACAATCGTTTCCGGTTCTCAATACATTAAACGACAATCGATCACTCGGCTAAAGAACCCAAAAAACTCACTCATTTAGAGTGCAAAAATCGAAAATACAATGTCTGAGAATCCCTAACATTAGCCCTCGGTTCGAAAATATATCATTCTCCCATTCAAAACCCACAAAAATCGCGCCTGTTGTAAAACTGACCTTAGCGCCGCTAAGGTGCCTTAGCTGTTCGCCCCAACCCTCGTTAAGAAAGGTCGCGCCACTAGCCTGGCTGACCTTAGCGGCGCTAAGGTGCTCTGCCAGCCTGCTGGACTTTGCTTCTCGGGTCCGTTTGGGTTCGTTTCAACTCGGAATTCGATTCCGCTTTTTTCCTGCGTGTTCCCAACGAACTCCTCTATTTAATTAAGCTTGCCCGACTAACTTTCGCCTGAATTCGGTCCTCCCTAGGCTTCCGACCTAAACACCAAAAACAAAGAAAAAACCGAAAAAATATACGTAAAACACATAGAAAACCATAATGGAGCAAAACATGCAATAAACTACAAAACGAACTAAAAACAAACAAAAAGACGTAATATGGGGAAAAAGAAAGGCAAAATGACAACGAAAATCGCAACAAAAATGGGACAAACAACTCCCCCACACTTAAACCTTTGTTTGTCGCGAACAAAAAGAAAAGAAAACAAGACACGAGCATGGATACGGTTTCATACAAGAAAAGCCTTAGAAATGCTTAACTCAACCGGGTCGAATTCCAACGACCGTCAGACCATATACCTCAAATATCGACTTGGCCCTGAAATGACAAGCTCTCAAACACATGAATAACATATATGCCTCACTCATTTTCTTATATGAATATATGATAAGTTCGCTCAGATTGATCAATATTCCTGTTTCAACATATGCTTGCCATTCGTCTAAATTACTCGGAAACAAGCAAAGCTCAAAATTTGAAAATCAAGAGGACTTCACGGGTTGTAATGTGGCTTAGGTGAAGGTATGGATATATAAGGACAAGAAGCTCAAATAGTCAATCAAGGTTCTCGAGTATACTCAAGCATTCCACTACTCATCTGGAATCAACAAGACAAAACACTTACTACCCAACTATCATTCCACAAACAACACATAGATGCTCAGAACAAGTTGCAACATCGACACTTAACCCTTTTTTTTTTAATAGTAACTTTTTCCGAACAACAACAAATCGAAAGGACAACATTCTGTAGGTTTAAACATTAGAGGTCATCCAAGTGTCTCACAGTAGTTTCCCGATGCTCATTACCCGTCAACGTGAATCGATTAGTAAGAGGAGTAGAATCCATTCGAATCGCCTTGTGAGCTCTCGTTTTTTTTTTTTTTTTAAATAGGTCAAGCAATAGAAATCCAACTCCAATTCACCTCATTCACCAACGACACAATTTGCACCAATCATCACAAAATCAGTCAATAAAATACATTACATTATGGCTGACAAGAAACGGCTCAAGGCTCAAACGGGCTACTAGGGAAAATAACATTAAGGACAAAAGAACAAGACAAAAATGAGCTAACAAACGAAACGCCTCAATCATTTTCGCAATTCCAAACTCTAGTTGATTCCTTTGAAACAAACTCAAGGCAAGTTCTAATCATTCAAGAATATGACCAATATCTCACAAGAAAGAAAGAGTAAGGATCAAAATCTCACAAGGTAAACAAATGTCACTCGAGGCAATCAAGCAAATATCAAGGCAATGATCACACAACCATTATCACAACTTCCCAATTTCATCAAACATTCATCAATAAATCAAATAATACACCAATACCACATGCCCAACAACACAACAAACCTAAAACTAGACCGGTCCACCATATAGGCATACAAAAATCCGAATAACTCCCCCACACTTAAAATGAGGCAATGTCCTCATTGCTTCAACACAAAATAGGAAGTCAAATTAGGACCTAGCAATTCATATAACGAACCAATACTAGCAGCTAGCACAAGACACAAACTCAAATGAAAAGATAGGGGAAAGAAACAACTCAAAAAGACAAAGAAAAAGAAAAAAAAAAAGAAAAAGAGTGTGCAAACCGAAGTAGCGTCGAGGGAAATAAGCATTCACGTGCAATCCATTCGCCCATGCTCAGCCCAGTCCTCGATACGTCCTGCCAAGAAAAACCACAAAAACTCTAAACTCCAATTATTCAAAGCTAAAACAAAAAAACAAAAAAGAAAATAACTAAGAAAGTAGTAAATCACTTGGGTTGCCTCCCAAGAAGTGCTTGTTTAACGTCATTAGCTTGACAAAACCTGAGTACGACTCAACCAGGGTCCAGAAAGAAGTGACGATCGTGCCATGCCTTCGTGTTTTCCAGAAGTGGTAGCATGGAAAGTTTGGCGAGAAGGCTGGCACGGCGGAATCGGGCGGCTGTGTTCTTGAAGAAGCAAATGTGGGCACGAACAATCTCCAAGTACTGACGAAGAGCTTTGTTCACCAACTCTCTATAGTTGACCTCGGGAAATATCAAAATATCCGTAGGGCATGTCGAGTTATACCCGTCTCTATTAGTAGCACAGGGTGGTGGCTCGGAATGTGAACCCTTCAACTCGATCGTGGGAGGGGAATCCTGAGAAAATGTAAACTCAGGAACATCACGATTAGGCTCAAGAATCTCCTCCACTAGGGTGTCACTCTCGATATGTGGAGCCACAACTTCATCTTCGTCAAGCTCGGTCATATGCATCGACTTACCAGTTCGGGCACCATGATTAAGATGTGGATCATAGGCAAGGGCCTAATTAGCTTGTGATTCGATGCAGTCGATGCGTGTCGTTAAGCTCTACAATTGTGCGCTCAACCAAGCACATCCGAGCTCAATCACTTCATCTCGAGTTGCTTGCGCCGTCATCCGATCAAGGATGAGATCAAGTTTAGCATTGTATCCCGAAAACTCATCCTCGAGCTCAGCGAAAGGCATGGGCTCCGAATGTGGGTCCACAATCATGGGCTCATCGGCTTGTGACTCGATTGAGTCGATGCACCTTGCTAGACACTCCAATTGCTCACTCAAATAGGCACATCTGAGCTCCATCTCCTTTTCTCGGTTTCCTTGGGCCATCATCCGATCGAGGGTTGGATCAAGTTTTTCGTTGAATGCGGCCTCTTGTTCTCGAGCTGTCATAAAGGTAAGAATATGGTCGAGCTTCTCGTTCAATTCGTAGGACTCATAAGATTGCCCGACTGGGTAGGGATCCCAGTACTGCTTGGAAGAGTATGAATACGATTGGTTGTGGTACCCAGCGTCATAGCTCGGCTCGTTAACCCAAGATTGGGTGTGCGGTGAGGGAAAAACACGGTTGAAGTTCATAACACCTGCACACCATAACAGAACAACCACACATAGCCACGAAAAAGAAGGAAAAAGAAGACAAAAACAAAAAAAGAGCAAAAGAAATACAAGGATGTACAAAAGAAAGAACAAATATACGAAACACACAAAACGAAGATAAACACGGAAAATAAGATCAGTACAAAAACAAATATCCTACTTGCCTTCCCCGACAACGGCGCCAAAATTGTTGTGTACAAATTGTTATTTTTACTGAGTACCGAATCGAAGGATTCGTTCCCCAGGTCGATCTCACAAGGAAGGCGGTTCGGAATTTAGCTTCGGTATTGATTTCACACAAAAGGAAAACAATCCTAAGCACTGTAATTCAAATGGTTGGTTTTGATTATCAACTCCGCGATTAACATCTAATGATACTCGAACATGCAATTTCAATTTCACACCCCAAAACACAATTCAAATAATTATAAAATGGACTAGGGTGTCGGGGATAATCGTTTTCGGTTCTCAATACATTAAACGACAATCGATCACTCGGCTAAAGAACCCGAAAAACTCATTCATTTAGAGATTCATTCTCAATAACTCACGTAACAAGAGAATAAACATAAACGAACAATTATCGAATCAATTAGCACATAGACAATACGTTTCTGAACAAGTCTATTCTAAACGAGCCTAAGATCGATCGATTCTTCCCCTTTCGGATCTAAAATCGATTACATAGATTACGATGGTGATCAATCATCCAACCCTAGGTTCAACATAACTCGAATAGATTGAGCAATCAACATACACACAACGAAATTGAACCGAAACAATTATCCCCTAACCCTAGTTACGAATTTAGCCACTCATTGCAATTTCAACACAACAATTCATAATTAAGCAAGCCATCAAATCCATACACAAAATGAAAAGAAATGTTTACGATTAAATATGAATCCAATGTGGAAACACCACGATTAATCCAAATCCAAAAGCTTAATCTTGGTGTTTTCACAATCCAAGATCAAATCTAAGCAAAACCAAGTGAAAGATGAGTTTTGGAGTGCAAAAATCGAAAATACAATGGCTGAAAATCCCTAACATTTGCCCTCGGTTCGAAAATATATCATTCTCCCATTCAAAACCCACAAAAATCGTGCCTGTTGTAAAACAGACCTTAGTGCCGCTAAGGTGCCTTAGATGGAAATAAACAATACATCATGAAGAACAATATGAGAACCCAAAAGCACAGTGCCAGCCTGACAAGCCATAGTCAATGTTCCATTCGGCAATTGAACCGAACGAGATGGAATATCATGGACATCAGTCAAAAAATCCAACATGTCATATGATGCGTAGCACCACAATCATACATCTAATTATATTTACTACGCTTACCAGACACCGAAGGTTTTTGTTTAGCTGAATTGACTAAACTCACAATATGGGACCATTGCTCATTAGAAAGACCAGTGATAGCAGTTCGGTCAAACTCAAAAAGCTGGGAACCGGAGCCAAAATCAGGAGATAAACTAGTCACGGGCCTCGCGGCAGCATTGACACGAATGGTACCACTGCGACCTCGGCCGCTTCCGGCACGACTCCCGCGACCAGCCCCTCCGCGACTAGAACCGAGAGAAGAATACCAGTCCGAGTAGCCAATGATGTCGAGACAGTTAGCAACATGTGACCACTCTTGCCACAGTTGAAACGAACTGGCCTCCTGTTGGATGAACGTTGTCCAGTGCTCGCGGCAGCAGCCCGACTCGAGTCGCTCCCGACAGCTACATGGACGTCGCCTGCAGCAGCCTCGGACGCTGCCCCTGTTGCACCGGGAAAAATCCCAGACAACGATGCCTTCCCTGCAGCAAAAAACGAGCCGGTAGGAGCAGTTTATAAAGCGAAACCGACGTCCGCAATCAGCTGAATATCACCACCAATAGCCATCGTCCGCATTCGCTCCACTTGCACCATCGTCGAAAAAACACAGTTCAAAGATGGTAATGGTTCTCAGGCTAGAAATTGAGAACGAGGAACACCATAAAGGTCGTGATCGAGGCCCTTCTAAAATTGATGAATGTGTTCCTCTTGTTGACGCCGGTCCCATTCAACGTTCAAATTACCGACAATGACCACAACTAGGACTTCAAACCGGCTGAGCCGAGTCGAGCAGTGGCCTTATCGAGCAGGATTGATTTTTTTTTTTTTTTAGCTGCTCAGACTCGAGCTCGACTCGATAAAAAATACAATAAGCTCGAGCTCAACTCGAATTCAAAATGCTCAAGCTCGCTCGATCAAAAAATACAATAGCTCGAGCTCGGCTCGAGTTCGGATCGAAAATTTTCAAACAGCTTTGTCAAATTATATATTAAAAGGAGTATTTTAGTACCATATATCTCGAGCCGCTCACGAGCCGTTCGACAATGTAAAATATGGGCTCGAGCTTGACTCGAGTTCGGTAAAACTCGAGCTCGAGCCGAGCTGAGCTTTGACTCGAGCGCTCGCGAGCGACTCGCGAGCCGCTCGACTCATGTGCAGTCCTAGCTACAACGACACATGGGGGACTTTTCAAACTCAGCCAATTCCTCCCATATTTAACTAATCTTGTTGTAATAGCTCTCGATCGATGGACAGGCAAAGAAGATATCATCATTAGGCTAAATGTGAAGAGAATTCACTTAGGGTCAGTTTGGTTGAATTTTAATACTGTGCTTGATACCATCTCATTCAGGCTTTATTGATTTCCAACCCNAAAAAAAAAAAAAAAAAAAAAAAGCATCTTCATGTAAATCACATTAAATGCAAGATTTGTAAGAAAATAATCGATATTAAAATTACTAACATTATTCCATCCAAAATGTGGAAATTGAAACTGTGCAGTAAATTCAATCAAACTGCCTGCACATCCCTAGCCTTCTTCCCGCCCAAAATTTTTAAAAATGCTTCACTTTAGTTCTAAAATTCTATAAATTTGGATTCACTTTAGCACATAATCTATCATAATAGGCCGTCTCTATGATCGTACTGCACAACACCAGCCGACTTCTTTCTGAACCTAATGTATTTTCTCTTGATTGCACCTTCACTTATCATTCTATTCAACCAAAAATGAATCCCAGTCTTTTCTTGTCCTGCAGGAAAATAATCTACAAAGGGAGAAATGCTTTAACTGATGAGTGGAAAGAAGCCAACAAGCACTAAATCATGCTATTTGTCAAAACAACATAGTCAGGCGGACATGCCACTTCTTATTATCGGAAACAGGCAGACCATAACTTAGCAACAAGAAAAACTTGATATGTTACCTGTTTCCATCTGCGCTATATAGCATAGTGGTACACAAGCAAAAAAGTTTATAGCAAAGTGCATAATTGTTCACAGAGAGAAGTTGTAGGGGTGATTGACCAAAACACAAGTCAATTGTAACGACATCTTTGCACCCACGGCATGGGAAACATCTTTGTACTGCATAGCGTATTGTACACAAAAGGCACGATAACAGTAAAGACGAGTCACAAATATATAGAGTTACTGGAGTAAATATATACATATAGGTCATAAAGGCAATGAGTAAAGATTGCAGTAGAGAACTTACTCGCATAATTAACTAAAAACTCGCATAATTAACTAAAAACTGCCAGTGGATTTTACACCAATTTTCTTTTCTAAAAAGCTTTACATGCTTATGCAATCTAATGTCATACCTGAATATTCTCTTTCTAGTGAGGACATAGAATAAACAGGTTGCATCATGGCTTTCAAAGTTGAATAGCTTTTTTCCAGCTAAATCCCACACTTGTAATAGATCTCTCTCTCTCTCATTCATCTGTTCTGAAGCATATACCTGCCATAATCTGTGGACTTACTTTTATCAACTCATCACCACAGGTTACAACACAAAGCTGTTTATTTGGATGAGCAAAACCAATGGCATTCACTCCGCCTGCATGAGCATCGATCTGCATAACGGGATGAAAGTTAACTCCAAAACTCTCACCTTGATTGGAACAAGCAGCAAGCTAGTACAACATACCACCAAATGTTTACGTAAATCACGCGGTCTCGCATAAGCATACAAATGGATTAAATGCTTGGAAAATGAAGCTCTTGCAAATATACCTTGAGAAAAATACTATTCCTTGGCACCTCCCTTTTGGACTTTCAAGGCGAGTCTTTCAATACAAACGCAATTATAAAAATAGTCCACCTTTAAACAATTACAAGAAAAGGATTAAGAACACATAACACAAGCTTCTATAATTGGTATTAGAAAGAAAGTAAATTAACTAGAAACAAGTGGATTCAACTAAATTTCTTATGTACTTAACAAAACGGGAAATAATTCTAATTCAACCAAATGAGGCTTTAAAATGGAGAAAATAAAATCAAATACAAGAATAGGATGTCCAACAATTGAAAACCAACGGACATAATTCAGGCATTGATGGAGATGGAATGTCGATTATAAGCAGCCTGAATTCTCACTGCCGCCTATGAGAACCTGTCACATTTTTTTTTATTTATTTTTTTCTGAATATTGCATATTTACCATACCAATCTAATTCCACAAGGCCTTTCGTTTAACCTAAAGATTATTAACTATATTAAAATTTAATCAGCAACTACACAGTCAGTCTTTTTTTTTTTCACTCAACTAAGCTAATTCTAACATTCTCATTAGGTTTCTTTTTTGAATGATTGAATTTATATCCTTGCAATATATTCATGCCACTGAGTAGACATTAAAATTAGAACGCTCTCGCGGAGAAAGAGAGAGAGCTACGACAAAGCATAACATAAAATCATAAGTTGTCAAGCAAGCAACAAGATTAGAAGAACAACCAAATAACCCACCATTAGCTATGAAAAAATCCTTCTCGCTGGAAACCCCACTTCCAGGAATTAATTCCCAAAAGCTTCAAAAATTCCCATGCACCTTTTACATAATTTTATCGATCCGTCTACGTCCCATCGCAGTTTCCGCATATCTGAAACAAAAAAAATTTCAAACATAAATGAATAACTCACGTTGTTTTCTTGAAAAATGTAAGAATCTATGAAAGCATAAATTAGATATGGAGACCATTTCAGATTCTAAGATGGATGTTTTTTTATTCAAGGTACACTATAATTTTCTCCTTCTCCTGCTAGGGTGCTATGGTTTTCGTTTCGAAATGGGAAGAATAAGAACTGACTTTTCTTCCATAAATTTCGATATATATCAAAGGGGTAAATTAGACATTTTCATGTTCCACATTAAACGCATTGATATGTCATCTGGCGCTAGAGTGGAGATACCTAATAACAAAAATGAGGGAAAAGTAACCAAGCCCTTGCCATATCATGGGCTTTTTCATTTTAAACCAAACAACTTAAACTTGTTGATATGATACCATCATGAAGGCTATCAAGCCCATCATGACCTACCAAACGCAACCTTAAGGTGTGAGTAACCCAACTCAGCTAAGAGATCCTGGAATTAATAATTTATTAACGTGATATCATAACATCGCCGTAACTGTATATCATTGCTAGCTAGAATCTCTCGTAGGAAAAACTGTATCCACTAAACTGGAGCAGTCCAACAACAAAGTAAACTAAGGACCATATAGACATCCACAGCAGATACCATTCAAACAAATGTAAAAATGCAACACTCAAACAAAGAAAGATGCCATAAAATAGCTCTAATTAAATTTCCTCTTAACCGCCGGACATGTGACTGGACCAATGGAGCTCTTAATGTAAGGGAAAACCTGGGCAATTTCTTGATCATCATGGATTCCAAGATTCTCCAAGACTCTGGTAGCACAATCGTAAAGCAGCAAGTCACCTTTGGAGTCCTGAAAAAGCAATTTTTCGTTCTTGTAGAGTCCCAACACCTTACGAGGAGCAGCAGATGCAGGGACATCGAACGTCGACACAAGTAACCAATTACTCATTCCTCCACGCCCAAATCTCAAAAGTAAAACAATAATCGTCCTCTTCATCGCAGCAGATAACAGCCAGCGACCCATGAAACTCGAGAACCGCAGAACGCAGCAACTTCATCAGCTTCTCCTTCTTCGGTAAACTGATAAGATCAGCACAAAACATCTCGTTAAAAGTCGAACGACAGAATAGTAACACCACCACCCCTCCAATAAGCATTAACCACCCAATAGAGAAAACCGTTAATGCATATTGACGAGCTTCCTAAAGCTATCACGGTCCTGGTACCGTAAGGATACGAATCTCCTTCCACGAACCGGTGCTGAGGGACAAAACCTCAGCGTAGACTTCCATGGCGGGATTGTCGTCATTCATCCAACATCTGAGCGCCTTATAGTCACCGGATAAAGGATCAAACCCAAAGCCGCTGAGCCACCCGTTGTTCATAGTTGGGAAAACCGAGGGGTAACAGCCGATGGGCCTCGATGCCGCCATGCCCCACAGAAGGTCGTATGGATGAGGATTTTGTGCGCATAGCACCCAGATGTAGGATTCGCAGCTTCCCATAACGGGGTAGCCGGAAAACTCAAGGAAAGTGTAGTTTTCGACTCTGATTAAAGACAACAAGTTGTGAGGAAAATCATCATCATCGTCCGGCACTAACCTGAAAGTGAAAGAACTGTTTTTGTTGTTTTCGGTTGTTATTACAGAGTAATCCTTGTTTCCGTTGCGAACGTGACTGACGAGGAACATCAGATTGCTCGTCGAATCTCGGCGTCTAGCACTAGCGGATTGGATCGGCTTCGAATCGCCGTTGGCAGGTGGATTGGTACCGTAGGAAAGGCGTTGGAAAACGCTAATCCGCCTTCTCTTTTCTTGAGGATTTGGTGGTGTTTAAGAGGGGGTTTTATTTAAAAGGGACGGTCAAAATATGATTTTGTTCAAATGACCCTTTCAATAATATTTTTATTCAAATAACCCTATCATTCAATACAGGTAAATAAAAATTTGAAATACGTAATATGTCCTTACATAGTCAAAGACTATAATAACCTTCTTCTATTTACTGTATCAACTTTTTGAAAATAACTAAAAAAAAAAAAGAAAAATTCTTCACCTGCGGACGGACGAAAAACAACGGTTTCCTCTCCTCTCATGCTTGGTTGCTTTATTCTTCTCTTAAAAAAGAAGAAAACAAAATGTGATCCTTTCTTATAAATTTGAATTTCATATGGCAAAAAAATGTGTTGATCAAAACATTATATCCAAGAAAGTGCAAGAATTTTTTTTTGTAGGGTTTCTTGTTATTTTACTTTGATAAACATTTTTGTTCATATTTTATGATTGGTAAACATGTTGGTTTAATGTTTATCATGTTTTTTGTGTCATTGAGGTTTTTTATTTTTCATTTTTTAGATGATGTTGTACATAACGAATGTACAGTCGTTATGCAAGTTTCATAACGAATGTACATTCGTTATCTGAAGAATATCTCATAAAGAATCGTTACACTAATATATTTTAACTTAGAAACGACTAAAATTATACCTATGACGAGAGTATTATCTTTATAATGTATTGTATAACGAATGTGGACTCGTTTTGGTTGCATTTAATCAAAAACTAACCATAACGAATGTACATTCGTTATGGTGTATTAAATAACGAATGTACATGCGTTATGGTGAAAAATCATCACGAACATGCTCCCGTTTTGGTTTTTTTTATGGAATGACGTGTTAAACATTGTATCTAGGTCATATATCACCTTTGAACGATAGTTTGGACCCATTAGAGCGTGGAAATACTCATAACGAAACTCTTTTTGTTAAATAACTATACTTTTTTTTTGTTCTTGAAAAATGGATAGATGATGTAAAATCTTTGTACATTCCCTATTTTACATGAAAAATGAGTAAAATTGTACCTACAACGAGTGTAATATCTTTATAATGGATTATATAATGAGTTTTAGTGTTTTTGATCGAAAAAGAACCACGACAAATGTACATTCGTTATAACGAATGTACATTCGTTGTGGTGAAAATCTTAACGAAAGTGCTACCGTTTTGATATTTTTTTATTGGAATGACGTGTTAAACATTGTATCTTGGTCATATATCACCTTTGAACGATAGTTTGGACCCGTTAGAGTGTTGAAATACTCATAACAAAACTCTTTTTGTTAAATAACTATACTTGTTTTTTTTTCTTGAAAAATGGATATATGATGTAAAATCTTTGTACATTCCCCAATTTACATGAAAAATGAGTAAAATTGTACCTACAACGAGTGTAATATCTTTATAACGGATTATATAACGAGTTTTAGGTGTTTTTGATCAAAAACGAAACGAATGCACATTCGTTATGGTGAAAATCGTAATGAAAGTGCTCCCGTTTTATTTTTTTTATGGAATGACGTGTTAAACATTGTAGCTTGGTCATATATCACCTTTGAACGATAGTTTGGACCCGTTAGAGCGTGAAAATACTCATAACTAAACTTTTTTTGTAAAATAACTATACTTGTTTTTTTTTTTGTTCTTGAAAATGGATAGATGATGTAAAATCTTTGTACATTCTCTATGTTACATGAAAAATGAGTAAAATTGTGCCTACAACGAGTGTAATATCTTTATAATGGATTATATAACGAGTTTTAGGTATTTTTGACTGAAAAATAACCATAACGTTCGTTATAATGAATGTATATTGGTTATGGTGAAAATCGTAACGAAAGTGCTCCCGTTTTGGTCTTTTTTTATGGAATGACGTGTTAAACAATGTATCTTGGTCATATATCACTTTTGAACGATAGTTTGGACCCGTTAGAGCATTGACATACTCATAACGAAACTCTTTTTGTTAAATAACTATACATTCGTTATATGACGAATGCACGATCGTTTAAGGTCGAAAAACAACCATAACGAATGCACATTCGTTATAAGGAATGTACATTTGTTATAGTTGTTTTTCGAACATAAACGCGATTTCTTTATGATTTTTTCGATCGAATTATTTGATAACGCGTGTATATTAATGTCACATGTCATCAAAACGATAGTTTGAAGGTGTTAGAGCGTCGAAACACTCACAACGAAACTCTTTTTTGAAATAACAATACTTTTTTTTTTTTTTGAAAAATGGAAAGATCATGTAATATCTTTGTAAATTCATTATTTTAACTTAAAAATGACCAAAATTTGACCTATAACGAGTTTAATATCTTTATAATGTATTATATGATGAATGCACGGTCGTTTAAGGTGGATTTGGTCGAAAAACAACCATAACGAATGCACATTCTTTATGACGAATGTACATTCGTTATAGTTGTTTTTCGACACAAACGCGATTTCTTTATGGTTTTTTCGATCGAATTACTTGATAACGCATGTATATTAATGTTACATGTCATCGAAACGATAGTTTGAAGGTGTTAGAGCGTCGCAACACTCATAAAGAAACTCTTTTTTTTTTTCAAATAACAATACTTGTTTTTTTTTTAAGTTTTTGAACAATGGAAAGATCATATAATATCAATGTAAATTCGTTATTTTAACTTAAAAATGACCAAAATTTGACCTATAACGAGTTTAATATCTTTATAATGTATTATATGACGAATGCACGATCGTTTAAGGTGGATTTGGTCGAAAAACAACCATATCGAATAAAAAACAACCATAACGAATGTACATTCGTTATGGTTGTTTTCTCAACAAACGCGCTTTCTTCATGGGTTTTTTGATCGAATTACTTTATAACGATTGTGTATTCATGTTACATGTCATTGGAACTACAGTTTGAAGCTGTTAAAGCGTCGAAACACTCATCACGAAACTCTTTTTTGAAATAACAACACTTTTTTTTTTTTCGAAAAAAGATCAGATCTTGTAAACGAAGGAGTTCGATGTTGAGATTCCGGAATTAAAGCGAGTAACATTTTATTGATGTTAAACAAAAAAATTAAAAAATTAAAAAAAGAAAATAAAATAACAAGCCCACGACAGCCTAGGTGTTGCAGGCGTGATGAGGCGTCGCGCGGTCC